AGACCTCATACCAGCTGAACCTGACTAAACCGAATACCTGAGCCTGTACCTGCTACCTTGCTACCTTGGGGGAGGGAGGTCTTTTGAGTGTGACAGAGGGCAGTGAGGGAGGGAGTTTGATGCATGATGCAAGCGAGGTGAGTGAGGTGAGGACTTAGCTTGGGGTGGGAGACGCAGAGAGCCGCTGTGTGTGGGCCCAAAATCGCAGGTGGCGAGAGTGTTTCAGGCACCCACCAGCGTGTCACTCGTCCAGGGGGGTGGAAACGGCGTGGCGCGCGGCTGCCTGCAGTGGGTGGAAAGACCACGCGCACATCGTGCGTCAGGGAAGTAGCTCGCGAAATGGACTGTGCTATGAAATCGATCGCGGAATTGAAATTCAAAATCTATTCGCGGAATTGAAATGGGAAACTGAAACGCGAAATCGATCGGTGAATACGTTCCGAACGAGTGAAACGCAAAACGGAAAAGCGAAATTAAAGCTCGCGTCTCATATTTCTGCCATCCAACCAAGTGTTAAACGGTTGGAATCCGGTAACAGCAGAGTTTGTCGCAAAGCACACCAAAGCAAGGGGTGGTTTGGGAAAGTTGGCTGTCGCACACTTCCCCGTGCACACCAAGTGTTAACAACTCTCGAAAATGAGACTCTGAACTCAACGTTGACAGAACCCGGGACCAAACCTGTCCCCCTTGGCTCGTTTTCCACCCAAACCAACCCACCCTGGTTTGTTTTGGCCTCGACTGTTTGGGAGTTCGCTGTGTTTTTTTCACCCACTCGTCAAATAATTCGTCATTCGTTACCCAATCACAGACGGGAAAACCCAACCAAGTGTTAAAAGGTTGGAAATCTGAGACGCGAGCTTTAAGAAGTGAGACATACGGAATCGATTTGCGCATTTGACTCTCTGCATGGGTGTGGCTTCCACAAATTCCTGAGCCAATCGGAACTCGCACGACCTCGCCGAAATCGCACGACCTTGCCGAAATCGCACGTACTCGCCGAAATTGCACGTACTCGCCGATATCGCAACGTCCTCGCCGAAATCGCATGTACTCAGCCGAAATCGCACGGACAGCCAGATAGCGATGGTGGTTCTCGTGACATGTCGCCTCCGCACGGACAAACCTGTAACATGCAGTCGTCACGTCAGACACGCCACTGAAAAATATCGCGTGTGCTATTACGAACCCATATTACACCACTAAATAAGACTCGGATAAGTGAAAAACTAGCACACGCACTCAACTTTACCTCGTATAGAAAATCGTCATCCCGCACTTGTTCTTCCATGGTCATCGCTAAAATCGCCAGCGTTTCGACGCTTCATGACGCCAACACTCGATTCTCATTTCGAGTAAACGCAGCTTCTACAATAAAGGCGGACCTGCAGCATAAAGCCTCCATATTTTATTCGGAATAAGCTTCGCGAGTGACTCATCGTTTCGCAGTCGCAGCATCTCTAAAAACGAGCAGAAGTAGCTGAACGTGAGAAAATGAGAGCAAGAGGCGAATGCGCTGTGAAATTCGAGGCTCAGGCGAGAATGAGGCGAGAGATGACAGTCACGTTGGAATGAGGCGGAGGGGTCACCAACTGCCTCTCCTCTCCTTCCCTCACAAACAAGCCTCTTCATATCTACCGTCCAGAATCACTGATTTGTCTGAAACGTGCTGCTAACTCAGATCGCAGCCGTCGGTTCGGACCCTTTTCCGTGTTTCGTCACGGCAACCCTAGCCATTTCCTCATTGGCAACCCGGGTGCGATGGGTCGCAACGAACAGCGACGACGGATGCGAATGGTTCGTCCGGTCAGGCTCATCTTTTGTCATGACAGGGAGATACGAGATTCCACTGCAGTGGCTGGTTGAAAATCGTCCGCGTGGCACATGGATTCCCTGACGGTCAGGGAAGCGAAAAAATATTGCCAACTTTACGCTGTTTGCTTGTCCCCTCCTTTCACCTCAGCGGCTACGTGAGACAAACGACACCGACGTTTTTCAGCGAAATTCCGTTGACAAGGCAGGAGCTGCGGGATTTCGCTAGTGAACGTTGGACTCCGTGATCTAAGAACCGTCGATTGTCGTCTCATCTGGAGCCGCAGAGTCATGTGTCAGTTTGGAACGCGGGAAGCCCAATGGCTTGAATTTGAAGCCATGGTTCCAGCCACTAGGAGCGAAGTGAATCTTAGCCGTGGATACAGATTCTAGGCAAGCGGCTGCGATTGAGATCTGGGATGACACCGTGCATTGATCTGACCCTGAGAAAAAATGGGCGAAGTTGGCGAAAGGTCTGTGCTTCCCAGCTATTCTGTTACTTGTCGGTGATTCGGCAGAGGAACTGATCTTCCTGACACCACTGATCTGAGACGATAAGTCCGAAAGCCAACACAATTTTCCAAATAAATGGAGCTGCTTTGCGGCTGGTACACCAACAAAGGGTACAATATAAAGGATCACAGCATTGAAAAAGGCAATTTAAAGAGTAGTTAGTGCAATATGTAAACATGATGCACTGTCTACTTTCTCATCTTTATTTGCTATGCGATATTATTCACAACCCTTCAAAGCACCATGCGTGAATCTGACTATATGCTGTCAGTAAATAATACTACTTGGTAGGGGGTACATACAGTTGTAGTCAGTGCATTAACCAGCCTGGTGGTGAGTGGATATAGGCATGGTTTCTGGGACAGCCGGATGCCGGTGAACAAGCTCTGCAGCTGAAATTGGCTTGCAATTGCTCCGTTTGCAGCATGGTGCATAGCTCTTGAAGGACAAAGAAACAAATATCTTCCAATTCACTGAAGAGTTTTTTTTCTCAGTCTTGGCGCACTTTGAACGGTGGCAGGTATGATGTGATGATTGCAAAAACCATGAATAGTACCCACTGTATTAAGAACCACCCACAACAGGGAAAACACCAGAGCACCAGGGAAAGCACCGAGTGGATTTGCTCAGTGCAGCCAGCCCAGCAGAGAAAAAGACATGGCAATATGGTACGCAGAAAGTAAGGAAAGATATTGAATGCCAAGGGGCCGGACAAAAAAACATAACAATGGATTGACAAACTGGTTCGGCAAGAAGCACAGAGCAGAAGGCGTGAAGAGTGGGAGGGGAGGGCGTGCTAGGGATAGAATTGGCACTGATTGCAGGCTTACAAGAATGGGCAGGGTGAGAATGCCCCAGACGGGCCAGAAGGCAATGGAGCACCTGCATCAAGGTAAGATGGAATGCAACAAGGTGAGATCAACGCAACAAGGTGAGATCAACGCAACAAGGCAAGGCACAAAAGACTCAAACCGCTGTTCTCAACCCTCACACTTGAGCACTGGCATGGCATGCTACCAGTGAGAGTTCTCATAATAAATCTCTCCCCTTTCTGCAACAGCCCTTCTGCCCTGCATGCCATGCCCCCTCCATGCTCATCCCATGGGCCCTCACCACCAACACGACCTGAAAAGCTCTCCATAAACGGTTCCTGAGAATCAGAACCTAGAAAGCAGCAAAGCAGGGCAGTTACAGGATGTAAGCCGCAAGTCCCACAGCCGTGGCCGCAGCCACGGCGCCTGGCGCGGACTGGTGGTAGGAGCGCGTGTCGCGGCGGAAGAGGCGCAGGAAGACCGCGGCGTAGAGGTAGATGCCGATGTTCACCGCCGCGCACGCCGCTGCCGCCTGTAGCGGCCGCCTGTCTGCCGAGGAGCGGGGAAATGTGAGACAAGCAAGGGGTGATTCAGGTTCAGTGAGGTGGCAAGGATGGGAAAGGTTCAGAAGGGAGGAGGATGAAACGCGAATAGAAATGAGAGGACGAGACGCCACGAAGAAGTGACGCCATTGCAACCGTTATGGAGCTATTGGTATTGAGAGGCTGACTATCTGATCCGCGGTCGATCAGGTAAACGGGTATTGACCACACGATTCGCTTTTGACCATCGAACATTTATGGCTGACCATCGAACGCATGACTGGCAATAACGGGCGAGTGATAACTGGACGCGTGATTGCGACTGACCATCGGATGCGCGGGTCGCGGAAGAGGACGTCTAGAAAGTGCACGGAGCCATCGCCGAGGTACAGAACCACGCAGCCTAGCAGCAGGTAGATCGTGTTTTCCACCCACGTTCGCTTCCTCCCCTTGAACTGCCGCCGCGCCTGTTGCTGCGATTGCTGCTCGTGCGACGTCGGAAAGGCGTTTTGCGACTGCTGGCCGTCTATTTCTATCGCCTGTGACTGCCGGTTGCCGTCGCCGGTTGCGCTGTAAGGTGCAGCGCGCTGCGTCGCAGCTGAAGCCATAGTGGAAGGAAAAGCAAGAGCGGATATTGCGGATTCAAGCTAAATCGGTGAGTATGTTGAGGCGTGAATCTCGAGAAAAGGCTATTTGTTCCAGGTGTGCGTGAAAATGAGCTCACAATATCCTTGTTAAGCTGAGACTCGGTAAGGATTGTAAGACAAACAGATTATGAGAGAATAGTGTGGTGTATTTTCAAAATGACATCAACAGCAATCGTGAAACACGGCCAACCATCGAGGAATCCAGCCCAGCCAGATCCTCAAAGCAGATCCCTTGATTCTGTCAGGCCCACCGCGCCCGCGCTTCCTCCAAACACCTTCTGGATCCGCCCATCCCTCCTCACCCTCTTGCGCCTCACTTTATCGTGTTTTAACCCGTCCCGCCCCTCTCCATCCCTTCAAGACCCTTCATTTCCACTTTCGCGCTCCCCCGTCTTCCCTTCTCCGCCCTCCCTCGCCCCTCTCACCTGTCCCCGTTTCTTCCCCTCCCCACTCCCTCATCTTGCTTGCTCCACCATTGCCAATATCCTTAGTGCCTTTCAGTGTTCCACGGACGGAATCTCAGCGTTGTAAGTCGGCTGTCTGCGACCGACACACCCGATCCAGGGAGATCTGTCGCTTGCAGTCGCATCTCGCGCGCGAGCTTCGCCGACTTGGTGTCGCTTCGTCGTCCAACCTCTGTTTTTAGATCCTCCGCCGAGTAGTCTCCTGCGGAGTCAATGGGGGAGCCCGATTCATGGGAGGACATCGCGGGCCAGCAGCAGCCGCCGCCGCCAGGCGGCGCGGGCGGATATTACAACGCGCCGCATGGCGCTGCCGGCGGAGCGCTCAACGTGAACGCGGCTGCGTTTTCATTTAACCCGACGGCGGGCACGTTCGTGCCTAATTACCCCGGCCAGCCTGCTCCCGGCGGTGCTCCTGGCGCATACGGTTACAACCAAGGCGGGTACGGTTACAACCCGCAAGCGGCGTACGGTTACAACCAAGGCGGTTATGGTTACAACCAAGGCGGGTACGGTTACAACCAACAGCAGTACGGCGGAGGTGGATATCAGCAGCAGCAGCAGTACGGGGGGGGAGGATATCAGCAGCAGCAACAGCAGCAGCAGCAGCAGCAGCAGTATGGGGGAAGGGGGGGACGGGGAGGTGGCGGAGGGCGGGGAGGCGGAGCATACGGCGGGGGACGAGGAGGCGGCGGAGGCGTTGCGGGCGCGCCGCCTCCCCAGCAGCAGCAGTATGCGCAACCGGCGCAGCCCCAGCAGCAGCAACCGTCGGGACCGGCTGTTACTAAAACCCTCGGCGGTCCCGCGTCGTCCGGCCCTGCAGTCTCGAAAACCCTCGGCGGCCCCGCGGTCACCAAGTCGCTCGGTGGACCCTCCGTGCAGAAGGTAATGGTAACCACCTCGCAGAATTTCGTAAGCATCGCTTCACAATTCCGCGATCGCACTGTTCGGTCACGTTTTCGCGAGGAATCGTAGAGCGTCTCGTAGCTGCATCTGATCGGCTGTTACAGCCGATTCTTTTCCTTCCCACTCATATCCGCGTGTCGTTTCTCGGATCCGCGCTCACAACTAGCCCGCCGCCTTCCGCCTCCCCTTCGCGTTGCTTCCGCCTCCCCACGTGTCTCCGCCAGGTTCTCGGAGCTCCTGCACCCGCGGCGGCCTCCGCTCCAGCAGTGGCGGAACCCGCTCCGCCCGTCGCAGCCGCTGCTCCGCCCGCGGCGGAGGAGGAGAAGCCCGCGGATGCGGAAGCGGAAGGGAAAATGGAGAGCGAAGCGGAAACCGCAGCGGAAAGCGACGGAGCAGGTGATTGCGAACGAGGTCTTATTGAGCGAGTCGCTTACTGAGTGAGGCGTGGAGTGGAGATTCGATGGTGTTCAGCTGGGGTAGCTTGGTGGTGCAGTGTTGTTACCACTTGGTCACGTCACGTAACGAGCACTTGCCGTCACCCTTGGCGGACCGCTGGCTTCCACGTGCAATACTTTTCTGTTCCCCTGCGCGGATATCCATTCCTTCGCCTCCCCTTTTCCTCTCTCCTCCTCGCCCCCCTTTCCCCCTCGTTCCGCCCTCTCGCGCGGCTTCCCTCGCCGCGCCCCACTGTCGTGCCTCATTCCTCGCGCCTCTTTCCCCGCTCCCCAATCTCCGTGTTTCATTCTCCGCACTCCATTCCCGGCCCCGTTCGCCGCGCCCCGTCGTGTCCTTCCCTCATGCAGTGGACGCGGCAGCAGCGGCGGTGGCAGCGGTGGGCATCAACGAGGACGAAGCGCCCCCTGCTGCACCTGCAGGTACGCTCGCTCGCGCCAACCTGAACACTTCCCTTTCCGTCTAGAGTCCCGCCCTGAGTTTTGCCCTCAGTTCCGTCCAGAATTCCGTCTAAGTTTTTCGTCCAGCTTTCAGTGCGGTACCAGTTGCGTGCCCTTTCTCGGTTTCTGTGCTTCCCGCGGCTTACACCGAGGCCACATCAACTTCTCCTGCTGCTTCGTCTCTCCGCGCCCGTGCCTTTTTCCGTCTGTCTGTCCGCTGCCCCACAGACGCGTCAGCAGCTTCCGCCAAGGTCGAAGCCGCAGCAGCGGCTTCAGCGTCAGCAGCGGCTTCAGCGTCAGCGGCGGCAGCAGCAGTGGTGGTGGAGGAGGAGGAGGCGGAGGAGGAGTTTGAGATCCCCGAGTCGGAGGACAAGCGCCAGCACCTCAACCTCGTCTTCATCGGCCACGTCGGTGAGTGCCCGTGTGCTCTCAGTGCGTGCGCGCCTAGTCAGCATGTCCTTCCGAACTCCGTACCTCCCTCCTCCGAAAATTAGACTCTTCTAGCCCACTTCACACTACACGCGCGCGCGCCCGCTCCCCCCACCCTGTGCCCTCCACGTGGCAGACGCGGGGAAGTCGACGATCGGGGGGCAGATCCTGTACCTGGCGGACATGGTGGATGAGCGCACCATCCAGGCCATAAGGCGGCTTGTGCTCCTTCCACCCACAGTACATGTTCCTGCTCCATTCACCCCCTCCCTGCCCGCCCCCTCACCTTGCAGACGCGGGCAAGTCGACGATCGGGGGGCAGATCCTGTACCTGGCGGACATGGTGGATGAGCGCACCATCCAGAAATACGAGCGCGAGGCCAAAGACAAGAACCGCGAGAGCTGGTGAGCGGGGGGTTGGGGTGGAGGGGTTACTGGGGGTTGGTGCGCTGATGCGCTGGGGTGATGGGGCGAGTGGGGAGGGTGAAATGGATAGGGGGGCCAGGGGTGGTAGGCCAAGGACACGAACCGCGAGAGCTGGTGCGCTGAGCGCTGGGGTGATGGGGCTGGTGCGCTGGGCGCTGGGGTGATGGGGCGAGTGGGGAGGGTGGAATCAATAGTGGGCTGGGGTTTGGTAGGCCAAGGACAAGAACCACGAGAGCTGGTGCGCTGGGCACTGGGAATGGTTGGCAGGATGGGGTGGGGGATTACAGAGGAGGAGAGAGGGAGCTTGGGTTGAGAGGCCACGAGGAGGATGAAGATAAGGGTCAATTATGATGAGATTACTCGTTTCCCTCCTCCTTGTGACGCCTCATAATAGTGTGGGGCGTGCGTGCGTGTGTGTGTGTGTGTGTGTGTGTGTGTGTGTGTGTGTGCGTTCGTCTGTGCGTGTGTGTGCGTGTGTGTGTGTGCGTGTGCGTGCGTGAGCGTGTGCATGGTGTGTATGTGTGTGCGTGCGTGCGTGTGAGCATGTGAGCATGGCAGGTACATGGCATACATCATGGACACCAACGAGGAGGAGCGAGCCAAGGTGGGTGCTCTGGGGTGCTCTGGGGTGCTCTGGGGTGCGCTGGGGTGCACTGGGGTGCGCTGGGTTGCACTGGGGTGCTCTGGGGTGCGCTGGGTTGCTCTGGGGTGTGCGGGTGCTGGGCCGTGTGGATGGTCGTCTCAGGATGGGTGGTCCCTTTCCTCCAACCAGTGTCTGTTGAACGACAGTTGCCCTGCTTCTCTTTGCCACAGGAGGACGCATGCCTTGCATAAAGTTTTCCACTCACCCTCTGTCCTCTCCCACTCTTCCACTCCACGCTCCTTGCCTCCCTGCGTGCTCCCCCTGGCAGGGCAAGACAGTGGAGGTTGGGCGGGCGCACTTTGAGACGGAGAAGAAGCGATACACCATTCTAGATGCGCCTGTGAGTCCCCATCTTGGACGCCCCTGTAAGCATCTTCTGTAAAGCTTCAGAGAATGGTTGAAAGAATGCAGTACTATTGATTAAGACTACAATGTTTCCTTTCGCAGTCCTACGTTTTCAAACTCACGTCTCTTTTCTCAGGGGACCGTGGGGGAATGGGGTGAGTGCTTCAGGCAGGATCCGATGAGCAGTCAACTCAGGTCATCACCTTCCGTTTGATCTTTACTCGCATTCACCCTGTCTTTCTCCGCACTTGCATCTCTCACAGGGTCACAAGAACTACGTTCCCAACATGATCAGCGGGGCATCACAGGCGGACGTGGGCGTGCTGGTGATAGCGGCGCGCAAGGGCGAGTTTGAGAGGAAGGGGGGAGAAGTTGAACCCTCCATTTCCTCCATGTCTCCCCCCATGTGCATCGATCTCAGGGTCACAAGAACTACGTTCCCAACATGATCAGTGGCGCCTCACAGGCGGACGTGGGTGTGCTGGTGATAGCGGCGCGCAAGGGCGAGTTTGAGACGGGCTTTGAGCGCGGAGGGCAGACGCGCGAGCACGCGCAGCTCGCCAAGACGCTCGGCGTGTCGAAGCTGGTGGTGGTGGTGAACAAGATGGACGACCCGTCTGTGCAGTGGAGCCAGGAGCGGTGAGCGAGGGTGGCATGGGAGTAGTGGGAAAGGTGGGTGGGAGGGGAAGGACACAGGGAGGCGTGGATCTAATAGAGTGAGGAGTGCAGCTGCTGGTGGTGGTGAACAAGATGGACGACCCTTCCGTGCTGTGGAGCCAGGAGCGGTGAGAGGGGGGAGGATGGAGGAGGGAAGAGGAATGAGGCAGCCAGGGGGCGTGGGTGTGGTTATATTATCTTCTTGCAGTGCCCTCATCCCTCGTCCCCCCTGCACTGCCCTCGTCTCCCCTACACTGCCCTCGTCCCCCCTGCACTGCCCTCGTCTCCCCTACACTGCCCTCGTCTCCCCTACACTGCCCTCGTCCCCCCTGCACTGCCCTCGTCTCCCCTACACTGCCCTCGTCTCCCCTACACTGCCCTCGTCCCCCCTGCACTGCCCTCGTCTCCCCTACACTGCCCTCGTCTCCCCTACACCGCCCTCGTCTCCCCTACACTGCCCTCGTCTCCCCTACACTGCCCTCGTCCCCCCTGCACTGCCCTCGTCTCCCCTACACTGCCCTCGTCTCCCCTACACTGCCCTCGTCCCCCCTGCACTGCCCTCGTCTCCCCTACACTGCCCTCGTCTCCCCTACACTGCCCTCGTCCCCCCTGCACTGCCCTCGTCTCCCCTACACTGCCCTCGTCTCCCCTACACCGCCCTCGTCTCCCCTACACTGCCCTCGTCTCCCCTACACTGCCCTCGTCTCCCCTGCACTGCCCTCGTCTCCCCTACACTGCCCTCGTCTCCCCTACACTGCCCTCGTCTCCCCTACACTGCGCTCATGGCAGGTACGACGAGGTGGTCACCAAGCTCACGCCCTTCCTCAAGCAGTGCGGCTACAACACCAAGAAAGGTGCGTGGCGCCGACAAAAGTACCATTTTGTGCACATTCTTCCGCAATGCATTCTTCCGCAATACATTCTTCCTCAACACATTCTTCCGCAATACATTCTTCCTCAATACATTCTTCCGCAATGCATTCTTCCGCAATACATTCTTCCGCAATACATTCTTCCGCAATACATTCTTCCTCAATACATTCTTCCGCAATGCATTCTTCCGCAATACATTCTTCCGCAATACATTCTTCCTCAATACATTCTTCCGCAATGCATTCTTCCTCAATACATTCTTCCGCAATGCATTCTTCCGCAATACATTCTTCCGCAATACATTCTTCCTCAATACATTCTTCCGCAATGCATTCTTCCTCAATACATTCTTCCGCAATGCATTCTTCCGCAATACATTCTTCCTCAATACATTCTTCCTCAATACATTCTCCTTCGCGAGTTCTGGGTCGCCGTAGAATCCCTTCGTGGACACAACTGGAGGATGAAAACAAATGAGCTCACACGCATAAAAGCCTGCCTCTTGCCTGCCTTGTGAGATGCAATGCACGAGGGGGGTTGTGAGAAGCACTCCATTCCTGCCTCTCTGCCCCCCCACGCTCTCCTCTCTCTTCCCAGACGTGCAGTACCTGCCCATATCAGGCATCCAGGGTGCCAACATGAAGGAGCGAGTCAAGAAGGACGTGTGCCCGTGGTACGACGGGCCGTGCTTCTTTGAAGTGCTCGACGCCCTCGCCCCGCCCGAACGCGACCCCAAGGGCCCCGTCAGGTGCGGCTTTAGGGTTCCTGATCAGGTGCGGCTTTAGGGTTCCTGATCAGGTGCGCACTGCGTTTACAATGGATGGAGCCGAGTCAGCTCATAACAAGGTGAGACGTCCCTCCCCCTCTTCTTTGAAGTGCTCGACGCCCTCGCCCCACTCGAACGCGACCCCAAGGGGCCCGTCAGGTGCGAACCACCTTCGTTGACAGGTGCTAACTGTGTCTCGTCCTTGGCGGGTTGGGCACGGTGTGCTTGGTGCGGTGGTGCTGGGTGCGGTGATGCTGGGTAATAGGTGGTTGCAACCATGTTACTGTAGGGAGTGCCTGATCGCTCTCCTCCTCTGCCCATATAGAGAAGCACCGAGATATATTCTGGTGGTGATGGGAAAGGTGGTGGTGGTGGTGGTTAGTGTGTCATGTTCTTATCCCCCTCCTCCCCTCCTCTCTTTCAACCCCCTCCATTCCCCCTCCTCCCCCTCTCCAGAATGCCCATTATTGACAAGTACAGAGACATGGGCAAGGTGGTGGTGGCTAATGGGTCATGTGCTTATCCCCCTCCTCTCTTCGGCCCTCCTCCCTTGTCCCTTCCCCCCTTTTTCCCCCTTCGCCCGCCCGCCAGAATGCCCATCATTGACAAGTACCGAGACATGGGCAAGGTGGAGAGCGGCTAATGGGTCATGTGCTTGTTCCCCTCCTCCCCTTCCACTCCTCTCTTCCGCCCTCCTCCCTTTCCCGTGCCTCCACTTCCCTCCCCCACCAGAATGCCTATCATAGACAAGTACAGAGACATGGGCACAGTGGTGATGGGGAAGGTGGAGAGTGGCTGCATCAAGCGAGGCGACGTACTCACTGTCATGCCCAATAAGGTAAGCCATCAACTACGGCAAGTCATGCCCAATAAGGTAAACCATGCCAAATTCCTGAAGTCATGCTTAATGAGGTAAACCGTGCCAAATACAGCAAGTCATACCCAATGAGGTAAGGCAGGTCATGCTGAGTAAGTCAGGTCACATCCAGTTTGAACCATATTCCTTATCATTCTACCTTCTCTTGTATCTTGCTTTCCCTTATTCTTCCCCCCCTCCTCCCTCCTCTCACAGACGGTGATGAAGGTGGTGACCATATTCCGGGACAACGACGAGGTGTCATTCATTCTCCTCAGCTACCTTGCCCCTTATCCCGCTGCACCAACTCCCCCTTCCCCCCCCTCCTCCATCCCTCCCCCACAGACGGTGGTGAAGGTGCTGACCATATTCCGGGACAACGACGAGGTCACATTCGCCCTGCCGGGGGAGAACCTCCGGGTGCGCCTCACAGGCATCGAGGAGGAGGAGATCTCCGCCGGCTTTGTGCTCTCCTCCCGCAGTTAGTGCCCTGCCCTATTCCTCTCCGTATATATGTGTTGAGTCGACTAAAAAACAACCTCCGGGTGCGCCTCACAGGCATTGAGGAGGAGGAGATCTCCGCTGGCTTTGTGCTCTCCTCGCGCACTCAGTGCCTTCTCCCCTCTCTTCTCCTCGCGCACTCAGTGCCTTCTCCCCTCTCTTCCGCTCATCCCCCCCACATCTCGGCAACCCGTCGCTTCATTTCATTGCAATCACCAATGTGGCGCACCCGTAGCATCGCATCTCCGTCGTCTCGTCCCACCCTCGAACCATTGCCTCTCCACGCGTCTCTCTCGATCCCTCCTGCAGTCCCCCTCACTTCATCCCTGCTACGTGCACCCAGCCCTGCTAGTGATTTCTCAACAATCTTTCTTCCTCCTCTGCTCTCCCTGCGCCCATCCCTGCAGAGCGTCCCATTGGAGTGTGCACGGAGTTTGACGCTCAGCTGCAGGTAACTCCCTTGCTTCCCCGCCTCACGTTCCCTTTCCCATTCCAACCTCTTGCTCGTTCCTTTACTCCCACACCTCTTACGATTGGAGGATTGTGCACAGAGTGTGATGCTCAGCTGCAGGTAACCCTCCTTTTGGTCTTGGCCTCCCCCCCTCTCCCTCCTTCACTCGTCCCATCCTCTTAGCTCAGTTGCAGGTAAGCCCTTCTTTATCTTAGTTCTTCCTTCCTTGCGCAAGGTCACTATCTCACCATTTCAATACACCCATTCTCCGTACTATTTTGTTGCCCTCGACATCCCTGGACCCTCTCTTCCCCCTCACCACCCTCCCTCTCCCCTTCCCTTTACGCTCTTCCATTTCCCCCTTCTCCCTCTCAACCCCTCCCTTCCCCCCTCCTTCCCCCTCTCTCTTCCCCCCCCAAACCATGTCCGGCAGATCCTAGAGCTGCTGGACCACAAGGCGATCTTCACAGCGGGGTACAAAGCGGTGCTGCATGTGCACAGCGTGGTGGAGGAGTGTGAGATCATCAGCCTGCTGCAGCAGACGGACCTCAAGACCAAGAAGCCCATGAAGAAAAAGCCGCTCTTTGTTAAGAGCGGGGCTATCGTGGTCGTGCGCATCCAGGTGTGTGTGCTTGGGGTGGGTGGGTGTGGGGTGGTTCTGGTGAGAGGGGCATGCACACGGACCTCAAGACCAAGAAGCCCATGAAGAAGAAACCACTCTTCGTGAAGAGTGGCGCTATGGTGGTCGTGCGCATCCAGGTGTGTTCATATAGGAGGGGTTGACGGGCGAGCAGTGGCGGGCATATGGTGGTTCTGATGCGAGGGAGACGGCCAGCAGGGGAGCATGTAGCAGCCTGCCGCAGCAGACGGGCCCGAAGACCAGAAGCCCATGAAGAAGAAACCGCTGTTCGTCAAGAGCGGGGCCATTGTGGTCGTGCGCATCCAGGTGTGTGAAGGGGGGTGGGTGCACATTCCCGTTCCCCCACCCCCATTTTCCCACTCTCATCCCTGCCGTTCCCCCTAACCCCCATATTCTTCTCCTCCCCCCATCCCCCTAACTCCACCCCCATCTGTGTGGAGAAGTGTTCCAACTTCCCTCAGATCGGCCGCTTCACTCTGGTTTTGATTTTTTTTTAACACACTCCCATTCCCCCATTCCCCCATTCCCCCACCCCCACCCCCAGGTGAGCGACCCCATCTGTGTGGAGAAGTTCTCCGACTTCCCTCAGCTCGGCCGCTTCACTCTGCGCGACGAGGGTGAGTCACGCCTGGCCTCCTCCACTCCTCCGCCTGCCCGCACCCTTGCCGCTGCTGCTTGCTCCTGCGCACGGCGCCATGCATGCGAATTGCCTTTCTCAAATTTCTCTCCCTTATCCCCCCCCCCCCCCCCCCCCCCGCCCCTCTCATCCCGTTCTCCCCGTCGCCTCCCGCCATCTCCCCCGCCCCTCTCTCTTTCCCGCCCTCCTCCATGCCCCTCCCACCCCTCCCCCACTCCTGCCATTGCCCACGGTCAGGCAAGACGGTGGCGATAGGCAAGGTCACTCACCTGCGCTCCAGCAGCGCTACCTGACATTCTTCCTCCTCACCTCTCCCCACCTCTCTTCCCCTCTCTGCATCCCTGTCCGCCTCTCCCCGCCCCTTTTTTCCCGCCACTCCCCCCGCCAGGCAAGACGGTGGCGATAGGCAAGGTCACTCATCTGCGCTCCAGCAGCTCTGCCTGACGTTTCCGCCCCTCCTCTCCCTCCACCTCTGCTGCCCTTCCTCGTCCCCCTTGTAAGTCCCGCCATTCTTCCACACCATACTTCTTTGGGGGGTTGTTTCTCTCTGTGCTATCCATGTCTCACGTTCTCTTGCTCGTTGCACATTTTTCTCCACTATGCCAGCTTCCATGCACGGTGTTGTGTCCTTGTCGACTAGTGGAGGTAGGTGCAAGTCGGACCATTCCTTAACATGACCATTCCTTAACATGACCATTCCTTAACATGACCATTCCTTAACATGACCATTCCTTAACATGACCATTCCTTAACATGACCATTCCTTAACATGACCATTCCTTAACATGACCATTCCTTAACATGACCATTCCTTAACATGACCATTCCTTAACATGACCATTCCCTTAACATGACCATTCCTTAACATGACCATTCCTTAACATGACCATTCCTTAACATGACCATTCCTTAACATGACCATTCCTTAACATGACCATTCCTTAACATGACCATTCCTTAACATGACCATTCCTTAACATGACCATTCCTTAACATGACCATTCCTTAACATGACCATTCCTTAACATGACCATTCCTTAACATGACCATTCCTTAACATGACCATTCCTTAACATGACCATTCCTTAACATGACCATTCCTTAACATGACCATTCCTTAACATGACCATTCCTTAACATGACCATTCCTTAACATGACCATTCCTTAACATGACCATTCCTTAACATGACCATTCCTTAACATGACCATTCCTTAACATGACCATTCCTTAACATGACCATTCCTTAACATGACCATACCTTAACATGACCATTCCTTAACATGACCATTCCTTAACATGACCATTCCTTAACATGACCATTCCTTAACATGACCATTCCTTAACATGACCATTCCTTAACATGACCATTCCTTAACATGACCATTCCTTAACATGACCATTCCTTAACATGACCATTCCTTAACATGACCATTCCTTAACATGACCATTCCTTAACATGACCATTCCTTAACATGACCATTCCTTAACATGACCATTCCTTAACATGACCATTCCTTAACATGACCATTCCTTAACATGACCATTCCTTAACATGACCATTCCTTAACATGACCATATCCTTAACATGACCATTCCTTAACATGACCATTCCTTAACATGACCATTCCTTAACATGACCATTCCTTAACATGACCATTCCTTAACATGACCATTCCTTAACATGACCATTCCTTAACATGACCATTCCTTAACATGACCATTCCTTAACATGACCATTCCTTAACATGACCATTCCTTAACATGACCATTCCTTAACATGACCATTCCTTAACATGACCATTCCTTAACATGACCATTCCTTAACATGACCATTCCTTAACATGACCATTCCTTAACATGACCATTCCTTAACATGACCATTCCTTAACATGACCATTCCTTAACATGACCATTCCTTAACATGACCATTCCTTAACATGACCATTCCTTAACATGACCATTCCTTAACATGACCATTCCTTAACATGACCATTCCTTAACATGACCATTCCTTAACATGACCATTCCTTAACATGACCATTCCTTAACATGACCTAACATGACCATTCCTTAACATGACCATTCCTTAACATGACCATTCCTTAACATGACCATTCCTTAACATGACCATTCCTTAACATGACCATTCCTTAACATGACCATTCCTTCACGTGACCATTCCTTAACGTGACCATTCCTTAACGTGACCATTCCTTAACGTGACCATTCCTTCATGTGACCATGCTCTCTTGTCTCCCCGCACCTCCATCGCTTGCAGGCAACGAGTGAGCCATTGAATAGACAATGCCCGGTGTGAGTGGGCGGATCACCTTGTCATCCGCTTGGCAGCACCAGGCCAACCACTTCCACTTTCCAATGTCCCTGCCTCCTGCCTCCTAAGTCTTACCCCCTGCCTCCTGCCTCCTGCCTCCTGCCTCCTGCCTCCTGCCTCCTACGTCCGGCCACGGTCTCTGCCTCTGCCTCTCGCATGCATGTCGGTACCAGCAAATCCATAGCAACAACCTCGCCCATTCCGAAACACCGTTTGAGGGTTTATCATGCACATATGGTACAGAAAACACGGATACGGAGCACAATATGAACAGATTTTGTGACATAGGTCGCATTCGGCATAGGAGCAGCATTTGGTCTGCTGTGTGAATCATGCAGTTATTGTGCGATGTTGGTCCTTTCAGCACAAGGCTGAACTGAATAGAGTCTGCTGATGCTATATAATCTTCAAACAACCAATGCGGTTCTCATATTGCATGCATGCGTTCTCCAGTCTTGATCGGCCCTCTCATGAGCATAACCTCACATGTTGGTATTGTCACAGGCCGGGATTACAACCAACCAGGTTTTTTCAAAACCAGCGCTCCAAAACCATGTCCTATACTATCTTCCAATTTCACTCAGGTTTTTTCAACTAAGGTGTTGGCTTGGCACCTCAGTGTAGAAAAATACACTCACTTTGCTCCACGCCAACCCTTGGGCTTCTCTGCAGCCAACAGCACAGTGCTTACAGTGAAGATATCCATACCTGCGCATGTATTGGGCTTCACACGAACACTGTACCACCTGCCCAATTTATCAGAACTACCACATGCCGCCTCGAGCTCATCATTCCGCTCCGCTGTAACGTACTGATTCCCCCCAACGCTCCCCTTCCCCTTCCGCTTCCCCTTCCGCCTCCACCTCAATTCAACCTGACCCTCTTCCCTTCTTTCTCCACGTCATTCCACTCTGCTCTGCACAGGCTGTCTGCACCCGTAGTTTCCTTAGTCCTCCTCGCAATGCAACCATGGTCAGTGGCGTCACCTCACTTTTGGATCCGATTCTTCTACTGTGCAGCCAGGTGCAGCTGAAAATATTAGTAAATTCCATTGAAGGCCGGCTGTCTGTACCTACGTACGTATCTCCGAATCATCGTCCTTCCACGGGAGCCACATAATGTCGTCTGAAGAATCATGCGGTGGCGTCGTCATTACATTTTCTGCCGTAGGCTGTGACCTCGAATCTATTTTACGAAATATCGTTTACGTCAAACTAACGGCCAACAGCTGCTCCGCATCGCACGTGCTGGCATCATGCAATTTCGAGCCATCAACGCAACTCGCCAACGTGAGCTATGGCTCACCGAATCTGCTGTCGCATTTCAGGCGTTCCGTTCCTTGTCGAGTCGACCATGCGGGGACTGAGGCGAACGCACGAGTGTCGATGTCACCTACCCGATGATCTTGAGCCTTGAGCTGATTCTCGTTACTTGTAAATGTATCTTCGCGTCATTCCCATCCGTCGCGGTCGCAGAGACGTTGGAGGAGCTCAGCTCGTCAAGGCTGGATGGGCGATTCGATACATCCCTCACCCGCTCGCTCCTCCGAGTCCGTTTTAGGAGGTCTCCTGAGCAAGGAAGCGCTTTATGTTCACCTCGCCCAGCCATGCCGTGTGTTGACCTTGCTAGCCCACTCTGACTCGAACTAAACTCGGAGATTCGTGCCTTCACCTCGCCAGCTGCCTTATCGTCATCGTCGTCGTCCTGTAGTTTGGAAACTCGGTTTTTTTTTCTGGAATCCGTGCCTTGGGCGCTACTCTCTGAAGCCGTGCTTGTGCAATGGACGCCACTGCTGTTTGCCCCGTCCCTGCTATTGACTGGCGCGCTGTTCCTCAAGAGGAGATTACCCACTTGGCGCACCAGGGCATGGTTGCGCCTGATGTTTCCGCCGACCACCACATCCGCAACGAGAACGAGATGCGCCGTCGCCGCCGCCGCCACCTCCGCCGCATGGCGCGGGAGGCCAACGCGGAGCTCGCGCGCGCCGTGGCGGAGTGGCGCAGGCAGAGCTTCCGCCACCCGGAATCGCAAGCTGTGGTGGTGCTGGCGGCGGAGACTGCGCGCAGCCGCGACTGGACTGTGGAAGATCATAGGCGCAGCTTCAGCTGTGGCGATCTGGGCGAGTATGGGCCGCCAGACGCCAGCCATGTCCCAAACGGCCGCGGAAATAAGTCAGGCGGGACAGGAGTGAACAGAGATGGCGCTTCGCCGCGGAGGAGCGAACGGACGTCATGTTCCCCTTCAGGTGCCTCAGGTGTCCCACCAGGTGCCTCAGCGGGTTCCTCAGGAGGTGCACCTACAGGTGCTCCCTCACGTCCCTCCTCGTCTGCTGCCTTGTGCAAGCCGGGGCATCGGCGTGGGGTGAGCGTGAACGCGCTTCCCGAGCTCTGCCCCTACCCCCCTGTGGACTGGCGCTGGGTACCCTCTCCTGAACCTTCTGCCGCCTCACACTGTGCTGCTGCTGCCGAATGCTGCCCTGATGCCCCTGGTAGCTTCTGCACAGCGTCTCCCAGCGGCGCCACCTCCCCGGCGTTCCCTCCCCTCTCACCCTCCTCTCTCGTTTCCTCTCCCTCTCAGCTACTCTCGAGATTTTTCGCCGCGTCCCCAAACAGCAATCACACCCACCGGGTGCAGAAACCTAGCCAGGGTGCTCTTGGAAATTACAGCGACACATCAGCAGCAGCAGCCTGCCGCTCTCTTACAGCCAGCAGTGAGGCCAGCTGTGTGCTCGAGCACAGTGGATACGGCACCAGCAATGCTGATCAGGCCGTGAAAACTAGCACTGGCATTAACCATAGCACTAGCTCTGTTGCCACAGCTGCTGCAGCAGTGGCGGCAGCAGGGGGGGAAGGATTCGTGCAGCCTGTGACCAGTGGCGACTGCAAGACCGGTGAAGCTGGGAGGGGAGCTGGAGGGCAGGAGGCAGGTGCTAGAGGTGCAGGTGCCGTGGGAAAGAAGCAACGGAGCGGGGCGTTGCATGGAGCAAAGGCTCAGTGGTTGCCGCCTGTCTCCGCTGCACTTCACAGATGCTTTGCCTAAGGTCACTGACTGACACACACAACACTGTTTTTTCTCTGCTCAGGCAGTTATACTAGTTCTATACTAGTACTAACCCTGCAAGAAATGTTGTACTAAATTGGAAGTGCATTGCATAGAATGCATGACTTTATAGAACTGATTTGTGCGGTAGGATCCAGGGAGGTGTTACGAGTGCAATTGAGCGAACGAGCGAGAATTGCACTATTGAAGCAAAACAATGCAGTTGAGCGAAAAGTATGAGTGAAGTTATATAGCGAAGCTAGCGTGGCGTCGGTAATGCGGGAAATTGGGATGCGCTACGGGCCTAGCGCCGAGGATTGGGAATTATCGAGGCGGAGGTCCGGAGCACGGGTTACCAACCGAACCGCTAGGTTGGGTCGCATCGTGAACAGTGGCGGGAGTCGTGGCCGAGGCGAGTGCTGCGAGCGGGTAACGTTTCACTGTGGGTGTCGATGGCGGGACTGGTCATGTACGCGGCAAGCAGGGGCGCGAAGTAAGGAAAATGAATTTCCCTTACACTAACCCCCCCCCCCCCCCCCCAGGAGGCCCTCCTTACGAGAGTGCGTGTACATCTCGAAAGTTTCGGCTGCGCAGATATTCAGTGAGGACAGGGTGAGTCTCAATTCTATCAAGGGGGACCCAGTTGTCTTCGGTGGGCGTGCGGTCTTTCCAGCGGATCAGGAATTCGATCCTGCGGGCTCCCCATGGGTCACGTACTCGGTGGCTCAGTATTTTTTCGGGCGTGATGATGGGCTCTGTCAGCGGTCGTGTCATGCTGGCGGGGCGGTTGCGAGGCAGTTGGCTGGTGGATGGGATATATGGGCGAAGCAGGCTGACGTGGAATGACGGGCTGACATACCAGTCAGCGGAGAGGAGGAGGTGGGCGGTGACGGGTGTGATCATGTGGTTGATGCGAAATGGCCCGCAATATCGGGGGCGGAGTTTTGGGATGATGGGCAGGCGGAGGTTTAGAGTGTCGAGTAGTACGAGGTCGTCTGGTTGATAAATGACGGGGCGGCGGTGGCGGTCGGCGTTGCGCTTAGCGATGACGTTTGATTTTTTTATTGCTTCTACTGCTCGGGTCCGTGCTGCCTGTAATATTTATGCGAACTGTTGTGGGGTCTTTTCCGTAATTCAGGTAAAACAGTGACTGTTAGGTCGTGGCGGATGACGAGTTGTTGTACGCGAACTCGATGAGTGGCAGCTGCTGTTCCCATGTGGTCGGGTCGTCGCACGTGGCTCGGATGAGTTGTTCCATTGTCTGGTTTGTCTGTTCTGTCTGTCCGTCGGTTTCGAGGTGGTACGAAGAACTAAATTGTAGTCGCGTGCCGAACTGCTACCACAGATTCCGCCAGAAGTTGCTGGTGAATTTCGTATCGCGGTCGCTGATGATCGATGCTGGTATCCCATGCAGCCGAATGACGGTGGAGATGAAGAGGCATGTTGTTTCTTCGGCTGTGATTGATTTATTGCAGGCTGCGAAATGTGCCATTTTCGTCATCCGATCGACGACCACCAGGATCGCGTCGTTCCCACTTGCTCCAGTCGGTAACCCCGTGGCGAAGTCCATCGTCACCTGCTGCCAAGCACGCTCTGGGGATGGTATTGGCTGCAACTGCCCTGCCGGCCGTTTCCGTGATGACTTCATGATTTGGCAGGTGGGACACGATGCCACGTGTCGTTGCACGTCGGTCAGCATTTCGGGCTAGTAGTAATACCGCTGCAGCTGCTGCAGTGTTTTCTCTACTCTGAAATGTCCTGAGGTAACCCCGTCGTGTGCTTCGTGTAGTAACAGCTCCCTTAGTAAAGTGTAGCCCGGTAACCAGATGCGGTCGGTGCCGGCTTTTACGTAATAAATCCCCTTAGCTGCTGCGAACTGCTGCGAATTGCCACATGTGAAGAACGGGTCGGTTTGATAGCCGTGGGTAAATAGTCCTGTTAATAGCGGGCTAGTTTGGGCGAGTAGTATGGCGTGGATTTGGGCAGTGGGGTGGGTCAGTGCGTCGGCAATGTTCGATACCCCTTTTTTGTAGGTGACCGTGTAGTGGAAGTTTGACTCGAGGAAATCGAGCCAGCGGATCTGTCGTAGGTTGAGGTGGGGCTGTGCGTGTAGGTACTGTAGTGATTTGTGGTCTGTCCGTACTGTCACGTCTGCGCCAGTCAAGTAACAGCGCCACACTTTGAACGCATGCACGATCGCGAGCATTTCACGGTCGTGTATCGGGTAATTCTTCTCGAGCGGATGCAGTTTTCATGATTCGTAGGCGATGGGCTGTAAACCGTTGCCGAAATCATGTAGCAGTACGGCTCCAATAGCAATGTCGCTTGCGTGTGTAATTACCTCGAAAGGCCGGTGTGGGTCGGCGATGCGCAGTACGGGCGGTGAACAGAGAACAGTTTTCAGGGCAGAGAAGGCAGCATGCTCTTTCTCCCCCCACCTAGAAGCAACCCCCTTCCGCAGCAGATCCGTTAGTAGGGCTGTTAACCACGCCATGTCGGGGACGAACCGACGCACATAATTAACGAACCCTAAAAAACTCTGCAGCTCCGTGATGTTTTTCGGGGGGTGCCACACTTTCACCGGGTCCAACTTCTGTGGGTCGATCTCAACTCCAGCCTCCGAAATAACGTGGCCCAAAAACTCTAGCTTGTCCTGAAAAAACTTGCACTTGGAACCCTTGATCAGTAGTCGGTGCTCGTCAAAAACTTTAAAATCTTCTTCCAGATCTGCTAAATGCTGCTGCTTATCGCGTCTGTAGACGAGGATGTCGTCAAGGTAAACTATCACACACTTATCTAACAGTGGCCTAAACGCCTCGTTTATGGTCATGTGAAAAGTCGCCGGTGCGTTGGTCAGCCCGAATGGCATCACTGTGTACTCGAAGGACCCGTACCTAGTTCTAAATGCTGTTTTGGCGCAGTCTAATGGTTCGACTCGAATCTGGTGGTAACCTCCCCGTAAATCTATTTTCGAAAAGACCCGTGCTGTTCGTAGTTGATCTATTAGTTCGTCGGCGCGGGGAATAGGGTATCGCGACTTGACTGTTACCTTGTTCAGTGCTGTATAATCGACGCACATACGAAACCCTCTGTCTTTTTTCGGTGTGAACAGGATCGGTGCGGCGAACGGCGATGAACTCAGTCGGATGAATTTCTTCTCTAATAGGTAATCTAGCTGCTTCCTCAGTTCCTCGAGCTTGGGCTGTGTCATTCGAAACTGTCGCTGTACAGTTGGTTGTGCCCCCGGTTCTAATTCTATTCTGTGGTCATGTGCCCGCTGAGGTGGCAGTCCCTCCGGTAAGTCATCCGGGAAAATCCTCGGGTACCGTTTCAACAGTTCCTGTAGTTCGGGTGGTACCGCTGCCAGCCGTTTTTGAAAATCACTCAGCTGCTCTGCTTCTCCCACCAATGCTATATCCACCGCGTACACGTCAGCTCCAGCGGCGACAGCCCGTTTCATCGTGATGGCGTTGACGTGGACCGTTGAGGACTCGGGCGACTGCCAGCGAGGTAGCTCGACCCAGTTACCGCTACTTCGCACAGGGCAGCTACCCTTCATCCAATCGATTCGCGGGTTGTACCGTCGCAGCCAATCACGTCCCAGCAAAATGTCGTGCTCATCCAGTGTCATCGCGTGCATTTCCTGTGTAAACCCGAAGTTCCCCCCGCAATGGACTTTTACACTCTCCGCCTTCTCCCGTATGGCCAGCGGCATGCCGTCAACTAAGCGTGCATTTACCTCCGGTAAACACCGACTAAGTGTCAGTTGCAACTTCCATGCGGTTGCAGTATTAACTAAGTTGTGACTTGCTCCTCCGTCTATAAAAATCTTCACTGCTGCTCCCTGTATTTTCCAATGAATCAGTACTAGGAAATCCGTCGTTGTACCCTCCATATTCATCCGAGCCCGATCGATAGCGAGAATCGGTACCGTGACTCAGTGAGGGTCAGTGAGGTTGGGCGAGCGGGTTGTCTCGTCAGTAGTTCGCCCGATTTCTACTGACTGCTGGCGTTTCTCTGCCTCTGAGACTCCCTCCCCTACTCTGCTCCATGGCGCCTCAGCTCTTCTGGGCATTCGCTCTTGACAAAATGTTATAGTGCTTACATTGTGTAGGCTGTAGTGGGGTAGCCCATAAGGGGTACAACCCAATTAGGGTTAGTACTTGTACCCAACTCATTCACAGTTCATTCATTCTCGTTCAGTATTCTGACATGGTTTTAGAGCAAGTCCTGTTCTAGGACCGATTTTTTTAGGGCCCACCACAGAGCGCTGCCCCACTAGTCGCGTCGCCCTCCCCTGCTGGCTGTTGCGTCGCCCTGCCCTGCCCGTCGCGTCGCCATGCCAGCAGTCGCGTCGCCCCGCCCTGTCACTCGTGTCGCCCTCCTGAGCCGCTCTGCTGCCCGCACCGCCCTACTGAGCGCCGCCCTGCTGCTCGCGCCGCCCTGCTGCTGCCCGCCCTGCTGCGCGCAGCCCTGCTAGCCGGCGCCCTGCTGCCTGCGCGCCGCCCTGCTGGCAGCCGCATCGCTGCCCGCACCGCCCTGCCCGCGGCGCCCTGCTGTGCGCCGCCCTGCTGGCCAGCGCCCTGCTGCACGCACAGCCCTGCTGCGCGTCGCCCTGCTGCTCGCGCCGCTCTCTTGCTGCCCACCATGCTGCGCGCAGCCCTGCTGGCCGACGCCCTGCTGCCTGCGAGCCGCCCTGCTGGCAGCAGCATAGCTGCCCGAACCGCCCTGCACGCGCCGCCCTGCTACTGCCTGCCCTGCTGTGCACCGCCCTACTGGCCGCCGCCCTGCCCTGCCCTGGCTGCGCGCCACTCTTCCCTAGCTGTGCACCGCCTCTCCCTGCCCTGCGCGCCTCCCTAGTGCTCGCGCGCCGCCCTGCCTGCGTGCTGCCCTCCTGGTCGCGCGCCACCCTGCTCTGCCCGCTATGGCTTCTCTCACTGTACTCACATTTGATCATGAGGGCCGTCCGATCCAGTTCGATACGTGGCTCGATGACTTAC